TATGTAACACTTTCCAACATGTTATGCAACACTTAATTTAACTGTTGCATATGTCATCCTTATGCAACACTATTTTGCAACACTTTGTTTAGATACTTAAGCAACACTTATTAGGATATAATGCAACACTAAAACGTTACTTTAAGCAACAATTTTCCTATGCTTATGTAACATATTTATTATATCTTATGCAACATAATCTTTATTTTGTAACATTTAGAGCAATACTTTTTGCAACAACTTTTCAAAAATTGGCAACACTTGTAGAATTATATAAGCAACATTTTTTCTATGGATATGTAGCATGCACATTGTGATGATTTTATTAGTCATGTCAATACAATTACCCAACATGATTTATATCACAAAGAAAGATACAGTGTTTACACTAATCAACATATCAAATTAAAGAATCCAATATATTGTAGTACGGTTAAAAGATACACAGCTTTTAAAAAAATAAAAAATAATCAACTAGATACAAAATCACAACCAAACTAACTAGTCTCCTAATTGAACCAGATAGATGGATCTTTACACATTCACAATTCTTTTCACATTCTCTGATCTCCGTATTGGTTCTGTTATAGTCGAACTCATAACTCTGTCAATATTATTGACACACGACTTATGAATGTCCAATCTGTTTCTTGATAATGTGTCTTCCACACATTATTTTACATGCATCTTTTTGTTGTCTATATATCATCACATAATTCTTCATTTTGACCTACAACAAATAATATAACGGTTAGAGAAACAAATAGATAATAACAAACCACAGTAATATTACACCCATAGAACTCTAATCCTGGAATAACATATCCTTTAGAAAATCTGTGATATTTAATCTAGAATAACACCATATAGCTACTAAAATGTCTATACCTTGTCTGTATTGATATAAACACCCTTGAGCAAAGTTAAACAAGAGTTGTACTGTAAATCAGCCGGTGTAAAATCTGAGCGATGAATTCCAAATTCTGCAAAAAAAGGACAGAAAAAAGGAGGCATGAAATATATGATTTCAATTGGGAGTTATCCCGTTTTGGACTATGACTCTTACTACATTAGGAATTTCAATTTGCTGTAGTGCAGACAACAAAACAGATTTTTCACGTCAACAAATTAAACTTCAGAAAACCTAATTCAATTGTATATCCAACAAACCATTTACTCCTAATAAAAAACATCCAAACAATTAAAAGACAAAATAAATTAAAATGTAAAACTTACCGATTTTGTGGTAGTCTCTTCATAAGACGTTTGTATGTTCTTTCACTAACATTTGGACAGGTAGATTCCTGAAACAAATATAAAAAATTCTTATATACATTATTACATTCTTCAATAAAAAACAAAGAAAACTAATTAGACGAAATAAATAGCATACCAATTTCGCACGAATTCTCGCATAAAACACCCGACTAGTAGTGTGGTTATCTCCCAAAAATTGAAGTTACTCTTGTTACTAGCTTACTGCTCCTAAATGTATAGAAATGAACTTATGTATCATACTTCATTTAATAGACCTGGTACAATTCTACAACTTGACCAACATTCAAAAATACTTTTGTGGAGTCTCTTTCGGTCTGTACCACTCATCTTCAGTGCTAGTCATAAGAATCAACTAGCAATTTCGAGAAAAATATATGGTTCATCACAACCCAAACATAATTGAGACGCGATAGTGTCCTGCACCAATTTATAGTGTCAAAGATGATCGATCAATTGATTGATAATAGTCTAAAATGTAAACATTAAGCTAATAACATTAGGCATCGAGCAAAAAATGGACACGAGTTTTGATTAAATTCATCAAGGTTATTTACTAGACTATAACACCATACTAGATAACTAATTAGGTTAATTAGCAAAAAATGAATTATAAAATTATGATATTTTTAATCAAGAATAATATGCACATGGTGACTGGGAAACTCCCATTTATGGAATTAGGGCGCTAAATTTGAATCCAGGGCAGATTATAAACCTATTAAAAAATGAAAATAAGAACAGATTCAGTTAAAAGAAGAGATACTTTTGGTTAAGGTGTAATGTGTTTCTTCACAAGTATTTATAAGATAAACTTTTTCACATGCCTTTTCACGTGCTAATAATACATAGAAAGTTAATTACTATCCAATTTATAGTGCATATATAATTTTCACTTTTTGAAAACCATAAAACTTCTAATGACATAATACTCCAGATAAAATAGCAGTAAATTATAAAAAAAATTAACCTTTAGAAGAGCATGTGAAGTCTTTCTCTTGAACAATTCAACTATGATCTTCTAGTCTTCTAATTCTTCAATAAAACATAAGGCTTCAAACATCTTAAACATTGTACATGTGTACAGGAATTCTACTCACGAGTAGGGAAAGATTCGAGAGAATGGCCTAAATTCAAAACCTCATTGAGACATTTTGTCGAACACTTTATAAACATTATAAAGCTAAGAACTTCTAAACTAGAACTCATCGAGATCCATCACAAATTCGAAGCATTTCAAGAAACCCTGTACAAATGTATACACGAAATACAAACTTTTGGGTGACAAAATATTGAAATATCATATACAAAGAATAAGAAGCATATTTACCAATTAAGATATGGTGAAGAAGGAAATTGAGGGTCTGCGGTTGGTGATAAGGAAGCGGCGATAGGCGGCGACGGCGAGATGGCCGGCTCAGGTGTCCGCAGGGTAAGCTTCGCCTCAGGTTACCGCCAAGTCTTCCCTCGTCGCTGTCTCCTCTGGCTTTGTTAGCCGCTAGGGTATTACGGAGTATTTTCATATTTTGTACCCCTATTAATAAAATCTTTAGTACGGAGTACTAGACTACGGAACACATAAAGTTTGGACTTTGGAGTCTTTACGTATATGCTAATTTTTCATTTGTGACTTTTTATTTTATTTTATTTTATTTTATTTTGTGTCATTTTTTTTATTCACATCAGATCTGTTCAGAAAAATTCATATCATAACAGATCAGAAACATTTATACCAGATCATAAAGATTCATATCAAATTAAAATGATTAATATCGGATCAGAAACATTCATATCAGATTATAAATATTCAGATCAGATCAGAAATATTCTTATCAGATCATAAAAATTCAGATATAATTTATTACTCATATTATTATTATTATTATTATTATTATTATAGTTACATGATTACAATGTAAAAATATAATAAAAAAGCAACACTAACTTTATTTGATAGGTAAACACTTACGGTTCATAATTATAGTTATTAGTTAATGCAACTTTTACGAATAAATGTTACATAAAAGTTAAGCATATGCAATACTTTCAATTAAGTGTTGCATATTTTTGTAATTTAAACGTTTATGCAATACTTATAAAAAGTGTTGCATTATTTTACCTCAAAATGTTATATGCAACACAAAAACAAGTGTTACACAATAAAGTGTTGCAAAATGTCGATTTTGTTGTAGTGTTTTGTTCGGTTAGCAGTAAGTGTGGAAGCATAAGATAAACATCCAAAAACTTTTAAGTGAGAGAGGTCGGGCTTTTTATCATGGGAAAACTATCAAATAAGCCCCCTAACTTTTCAAAAAAATCAATTAGACCCTTTACTAAAACTTCACTCAATTAAACCCTCAAACCCAATAAAATATGGCAAAACCTCTTTTTAACCGGTAACTAATAAGTTACCCGGTTATTATGTACACGTGGCTACACATCTCGTTTTTTCAATTTTTCCATTTTTATTTCTTTTTTCCTTTATTTTTCTTTCCTTTTTCCTTTCCCTTCATCTTCTTTCTCGTTCAACAACTCGTTCCAGGCTTCTAAAAAATTTCAGCCTTCAATCCCTTCCTCCATCTTCTTCTAATCTTCCACCCACCCTTTCTTCCCACCCTTTCTTCTTTCTTCTGCCACCAGTAGGTCGTCGTCGGCAACGCAGTGTCCGAGCGAAACTTAGGACGCCGAAGATGCTCAAGTTCCCATTACGCACCGGTCCGGTCATCCCCTTTCCGCGAGTCCATGCCTTGGGAGTCGGAAAACGTTCTCCTTTAAAGCTTCGTTAAGGAATACAAGTCGGAGTCGGAGTCGGTGCTCCGTGAGAGCTCTGGCCAGATTGATTCCAGATCCGGTTGCAGAAAAGAGGGGCAGGGAGGAGGACGAAGTGAGTCGTGGAAGTGCGAGCAGAGAACTAATAGGGGGAATCAGAGAGTGGGGAAGGAAAGAAGGAAAGAAATAAAGAAAGAGGGGAGAAGTTGCAGGTGCTAGCGCAGGGAATAAGGGGAAGAAGGGGAGCAGGAAAGAAAGCCTAGGGAAGAGGAAAGAAAAAGAAAAAACTGACATGTCACACCACATACACAATTTTACCGGAAATACCTGCTAAAAAGAGATTTTGCAAATTTTTAATGAGTTTGAGGGCCTGATTGAGCTGACTTTTAGTTGGAGGACTTAATTGATTTTTTTGAAAAGGTTGGGGGCTTATTTGATAGTTTTCCCTTTTATCATATAACATTTCAAAAGGAGATTTATTTCCAAGAATAACGGTGGGAAGTCTGTTAATGATATGAACAGCACTTAAAACACAATCAGACCAGAATTTAATAGGTAAACAAGATTGATATAGTAAAGCTCTAGCAATTTCAAGAATGTGTTGATGTTTTCTTTCAACTCTAGCATTTTGTTGAGGAGTTTCAACACAAGATAGTTGATGAATAATACCATTTGTTTTATAAAAATCAGTAAACATAAATTCAATGCCATTATCAGTTCTTATGTTTTTAATTTTTTTATGAAAGTGAGTCTCTATCATTTTATAAAAATTAATCATGTGAAATCTAACTTCAGATTTAGTTTTCATCATAAAAACCCAAGTACATCTAGTGTGATCATCAACAATAGTGAGAAAAAATCTGAAACCAGAATAAGAAGGAACTTTATAACGACCCCAAACATCCATATGAATTAACTCAAAAGAAGATTGAGCATAAGAATCACTAGGAGAAAAAGGTAAACGTTTTTGTTTTGCAAAATGACAAATATCACAAGCAGAATTATTATTTGCAGCTTCATCAACATTACAGTTTGACAACAATTTGATCTTATTGTAAGGAAAATGTCCTAGTCTAAGATGCCAAAGATGAGAACTTTGATCAGTACTAGCAGAATTCACAACAGATGGATGTTTGATAGTGAATGATGATGTGGAAGGATTGTAATGATAAAGGCCATTTTGAATTTCAGCAAAGCCAATGATTTTGTTGGTAAGAAGGTCCTGCAAAGTAGCATGGTTTGATGTAAAATTTACTGAAATGTTTTCATGAAGAGCTAGACTAGATATAGATATAAGATTGAAAGTAAAATTAGGAACATACAACACATTATGTAAAGTAAGACAATCATTGAGTTTAATATTTCCAATGTGAGTAGCAAGAATAAAATTTCCAGTGGGAAGTTGAATATTAATAGCTACAGGTTTGGGTGAAGATGTATAAAAAGAAGAATCAGAAATCATGTGGTCAGAAGCACCGGTATCAAGAATCCAGCTATTTGATTTCTTAACAGTATTAAAAACAAAATGATTACCTAGGAATTGATTATGATCAGTTGTTGAAGAAGGTGGATCTTCAGCATGAACAGACATTGCAACATTAGCGGAAGCAGTTTTACTGTTATGAGTTTGCAGGTACTGTAGAAACTTGTTATACAAATCAGGATCACAAAAGTCCATGTCATGAGAGATAGGATCAGCAGAAACATTAGCTAAATGAGCTTGAGAAGATTGAGAAGGTTGAAAGCCAGGAGCAAAACGTTTCCCTTTAGGACCTTTCCAGTTACTGGGATATCCAACCAATTGATAACTTTTTTCAGCAGTATGTCCTTGAAAACCACAATGAGTGCAAGTGCTAGTGTTTTTCTTTTTGGAAGAATGAAACTTAGCTAAGAAAGCAGTAGACTCATGAGAGGAATTATCAGGATTAGAAATGATTTGAGATGATTGTTCAGTAAGGAAAGAGACAGAATTAACAGAGTTCTGTAAAGATCTTTGAGACTCCTCTTGAAGTAAGAAAGAATAAACTGTGGAAAGATTTGGAATGGGAACTTTCAGGAGAATCTGGCTTCTCAAATTCGAATAAGAATCATTCAAACCACTGAGAAATTTGAAAACCGAGTCCCTTTGAATTAATTCTTGGTAAGTTTCATTGATTTTGCAGGTACAGTGACCACAAGAACAAGTAGGAATAGGTCTGTAATTACAATACTCATTCCAAATACCATCGAAAAGATTAAAGTAAGAAATGATAGACTGAGAACCTTGAGAAATATTACTTAAAGTTTTCTCAAGATGAAACACATGAGGACCATCGCTCTTTCCGTATCTTATTTTGATTTCGTCCCAAAGATCTTTGGCATTGATAAAATAGAGAAAAGTATTGCGAATAGTAGGTGATATAGAGTATACCAGCCAAGACAGAATGAGTGCATTCACACGAAACCAGGCAGAATATAGAGATGAATTATCTGGAGACGGTGGAGAAATTGAACCATCGAGAAAAGCCATCTTGTTCTTCACGGTTAAAGCCATAACAACCGACTTCTTCCAAGCATTAAAATTGTCACCAGTAAATGTCTCGTAGATGATTCTGATGCCTGAATGATCGCTCGGATGCAGATAATACGGTGATGAGTAATCTTCAGTAGGTTTAGAGGAAAAATTGGACGATTGGGATCCATTTTGATCGATAGAGATATCGATCGATAGAAGATGAATCAATGAATTGAAACAGGGGATCGGTTTAGGCTAAAACTGATACCATATTGAAATACAATTTAGCAGAAGAAAGATTGGAAGAGGAGATGTCGATTAGAGATCAAGAAATCAGTCTGAGTGCTTAGGGTTACTTGAATAGCAGAATTAATGAATCTGCAGGCTTACTAAAACTATCTAAATACTAACTTGGTACTTTACAAATAACTACAACTAAAAAATAGAAATTACAGTAAGGCCCAATATAAAACATCTATTCTAAAATAGCATAACTTCTTTATTTTTGATATATATATATGCCTCTGGTCGTCACTGGATCTTCCTCTTCTTTCTCTTATTTTTTGCTGCTGCTTCTTTTCAAGTTTTGTTGAACAAAAATGGGGTTGAAAGCTTACTCAGTTGATTCTAGCCGGAGCAATTAGGATTTTCCGATTTGTACAAAACCAATTTGTTGTTCTACTTGTGTCTCGATGACCTGTGGAGAAGGAAGGTGACATCGGTGAGCTCAGCTAAGTCCATTATTGAGCTTTCTTCTTTTTGTTGTCCAGGTCTATTTGTGATTTTTCCCTTCTTGCTTTCTTCTATTTTTTCTCAATTTTCCATTTTGTTTCATTGTTATTTCGAGTTCCCTTTGTTTCGTTTCTCTAAATTCTTATTTGGTTTTCCTTTCTCTTATTCTATTTTTTTTTTTTACCAATTTCTCTTATTCTCTTAGTTATTCTAAATTTTTCTATCTACTTTTACCATATAGATTCTAATTTTGTCTATACTTAATTTCCTTAAACAATTTCACGTTGTCATTTTCACAATATTATTAAATAATATCACAATATTATAAATGAACAAACATTATTTCTTGACAATTGTACAATTTTAGTATCACAATGTCATAATGTTATTATCTAATGTCACAATATCGCAATCACAATGACATCATAAAAAAACAATGACACTTGTTAACAACGTCATATTGTTATTACACAATGTCAAAATATCATCAATGTTATGACATTGTTTATTGTACATAACTAGTAGTGTCATGGAATTACAATGACATATCTTGACACAATGACAATTCCAATGACAATGTCATAAAAATGTCATCGAGATAAGAAAATGTCACAATGGCAATGTCATTTTCGATGCTATAAAATGATATTGCCATTGTGACAATGTCAATAGCTATTATGACGATGTTAATTTTATAAAAAAGAAGTCACAACGTCGAAAAAATGTTGTAATCTCAATTAATCACGATGACAATGTCATAAAAATGTCAATGATAATGTCATAAGAATGTCAATGACAATGTCATAAGAATGTCATTCATTATGAAAATGACATTGTTAAAACTAATGTCAAAACTATAAAATACGGAGTATAATTTTTATTTCAGCAGGTGCAATGTTTGCAAGACAAAGCCAATTTACATTCGTCACTTTATACTTTCTGTTTATTGCTACGTCTGGAAGAGCCAACTGCTCACATGTCTCTACTTAATCAACTGCCTTTTACGGAGTACTTCTTTATTTTACAGTGAAGATACATCAATTAAAATCAATTACACCACCACATCAAGATGGGTTAAATGAACCCGGTTGATAACTTGTACTATCGTATTTGAAAAAACTTCAAATAAATTAGTTAGGTATAGTAGTTCAGCAACATGCACTCAAAGGTTATATGATAAATAGAATGCACCAGATGAGCTAACCTAATGTTAAAAGTTACGATAGTATAAAGTAACTTGCATAGCAAAAGGCATATAGTCGATCTACCTTTCGAATTAAAAACAGAAAATCTTCTGTCAACCGCTTCTCTCTTTTTAAAACAGAAAATCTCCGAATCAAATAACTCGTAATACAACTTATATTCCATAAAAAGGGAGAGAGGCAGTGATGTGCACTTTGTCGTAGTGTGCACTCAAAATAATAATACAATACGACACTAATACGTAGTATAACGAAGTAAGGTTCGTATCCACAGGAAAATGAATATTTCTCTTTTTAATTAACTAGTAACAAAGGGGGGGTTTTAGATTTGATTTGATTTAATTAACACTAAGATGAATGACTTAAATGAGTTTAATTAATGAGAAGAAGACTTGGCTTTGCTTTTATCCACTTAATGAAATGTTCGTCGATCCCAGTTATATCTTTAACTATCTTCCTCTCGAATACTCAATCGAGGAGTATATCCAGTTCATCGAGGGTAGTTATTAATAACGAGAAGCGTTCATTAATAAAACTTACTATCGAGTCAATATAGAACAAGCGCCGTATATTAACTTGATAGTAGCAATAAACTTAAGATGAAAACGGTTGAGATTGATAACCTCAACACAAGCGGTTTATTGGTTTAATCAATATAATTAATTCCCCTTAGATTATTAACCATGAGATGCATGCATTAATAATCCAAGTTTACTACCATGAAAGGACCGAATTAATAACAAGCGTATTAATCGACCGATTCTAGTATTAATTAATATATGAAACAAAACTAGTTGATCCTTTAAGTAATGTTCAAAATATTAATATGAAATATGAATAGGAATTAATTAATACTCAAGAAAGAATATTAAAGAAGATGAATCCTACTATAGTTAATATCAAGATGTTAACTAATTGTCATCTTAGTAACACTCCCCAATATTAACGTAGAGGAAGAAATAATTATTACTATAACTAATGTTAAGATGTTAACTAATTGTCATCTTAGTAACACTCCCCAACATTGATATAGAAATAGTATTTAAAGGAAGAATTAATATTCAAGGAAGAAGATTAAAGAGAATAACTCACAACTTACAAATTCATTAAGCTTCAAAGTAGCAAAACCAAGATGGAAGAGTTTAGCTCCTCATTTGGAGACTAAACATGATAGAAAATATAAAGAAAACACTAATCTAAACTGAGCTAAAGAGTATATGTGAATTGGTAATTTATTGTGGAGGAAATGGGGTGTATTTATAGGATTTTTAGGCCTGCAGGGTCGTGTACTCGATCGGGTATATAGGGTACTCGACCGGGCCTTCAGTTGCTTCGTGGAAGTTGGAAAAAACATGGACATACCCGATCAAGTATGTCGGCTACCTGATCGGGTATGGACACTCGATCGTGGTCAAAATCTCCCCTGCATGTTGCCTTGTTCCCGGGTTGATCCGATTTGATTTTTCAGCGACTTACCCGATCGAGTATAGGTCATACTCGACCGGGTACAACACCAAAAATCAGGATCTTCATTTTTCTTGGAATTTTTGCACCTTCCTTCCACTTGTGATGTTCACCAATGGTCCCTAGAGTGGCATTGGACCTGTTTGAGCTCAGAATCAACCTAATCTAAACAATTTTACAAACATTTTACAAACTAAACTATTACACCAAAAGTGTGTAATTTCTAGAGTAACAATCACTCAAAACTAATCAAAAACACGAATATAAATATGGAAATAACATGAATGTCAACTCCCCCACACTTAGTTTCTTTACTCGACCTCGAGTAAAACCAAATGTTTACACAATGTTCAACCAAATATCATAAGTTTTAAGAATAGTAAGAAAGAGCACAAGACCACCAAGGTCGTAAATGAGTTCATAAAACGACATTTTTCTTGAGTTTGTTAGTCCTTTGTGCCCTTTGTTTCTTCTTCTTTTGCTTCTTCTTCTTTTCCTCTCCTCTTCCTCTTCTCTTCCTCTTCTCTAAGAGATGATGTCCTGCAAAACACAAATTTCTCTCTCATATCTCTCATTTTGCCTAGGAGCCTTTTCAGGTTTTCATCCTAGCATCTCTTTTCTTTTTCTTTCCTTACCACTCACTCATTATTTTTTTGTAAGCCCTTGTTGCTTAGATTGCCCTCTTGGGTTTTCAACCTAACTAGCATTTCATTTCTTTTATTAATTTTTTTTTGTGCACAACTAATACAAGAAAATAATGCTTAGTACAAGGTAAAAACAAAGAAGTGTACATACCAAGAGATAATCTTCCTCCCCCACACTTGAATCATGGCACTATCCCTAGTGCCCGCCTTCTCCTCCATAGTAGCCTCCTCCAAAGCCGCTTCCGTGCATGTCATCTCCGCGTCCCTCGCCCCTGGTAGTATCCCCGCCATCATAGCCACCACCGCCGGAACTAGAGCCGCCAAAATTACCCCAATCGGCGGGGTTATACCAAGAAGGTGCCGGTGGTGGTGAGTCCATAGATGCAAACCCGCCAAGTTGGGACATGTATGAATATGTCGGCCCATACATCCTTCGGTAGTCTTCTTCATACCTTTGCATGTCGGCCGCTCTTTGCTCCTCCATCCTTTGGAATGCCGATTGTTGTTCGGTCCAGAAAGCATCAAAGTG